TGTTTCTCTCTCTCTCTCTCTCTCTCTCTCTCTCTCTCTCTCTCTCCCTCTCCCTTCCTCTCTGAAATAAATAAAAAAAGGAAAAAAGAAAAGACAAATTCCATTCTTAGCCCTAGCTGGTTTGACTCAGTGGTAAAAGTGTTGGCCCTAAGACTGAAGGTTTTTGGGTTTGATTCCAGTCAAGGGCTCATATTTTGGTTGTAGGCTTGATACCTAGCCCCAGTCGGGACGCATGCAGGAGGCAACCAGTTGATGTGTCTCTCTTACATCGATGTTTTCTTCCCCTCCTTTCCATTCTCTCTTTAAAAAAAAATAGGCCAATTTTTCCTTGAAACATGAAGGTTTACAACAAGCAAAGGGGAAAGTGAAGCATTTCTGAAGGCAAATTTAAAATGAAATATAGAGGGAAAGCAGTTCTTTTTATTAGTGGATCCTTAACTAATGTGTGTGTATATGTGTGTGTGTGCGCATGTGTGTGCATGTTGTATTTGAAAATCAAATTTTCAGAGATCTCTAAGGTGATCTCTAGATATTGTAAGTAGAATATCTTATGGATATTAAACCATCAATTAATATGAAAAATATATGGGAAACTAGCATTTTTAGAAATAAGCATACAATTTTTTAAATATATTTTTACTGATTTCAGAGAGGAAGGGAGAAGGAGAGAGAGATAGAAACATCAATGATGAGAATCACTGATCATCTGCTTCCTGCATGTCCCTTACTGGGGACCGAACCCTCAACCCCGGCATGTGCCCTGACCTGGAATTGAACCGTGACCTCCTGGTTTTTAGGTTGATGCTCAACCACTGAGCCACACCAGCAGGGCTTATTGTTATTAAATATTTTTTATTGAATTTTAGAGAGAGGGGAAAGGAGATGGAGAGAGAAATAGAAACATAATGTGAGAGCAGAACATTGATCAGCTGCGTCTTGCACGCCCCCAACGGGGACCTAACCTACACCCCGGGCATGTGCCCTGACTGGGAATTGAATCAGCAACCTTTTGAGCATGAGATGACACCCAACCCCCCGAGCCACACCGACCAGGGTGAACATACAATTTTTACATGTCTACGAAATTAAAAGAACACCTGGAGATATGGAGGGAGGTATTTATTCTTCTTACTCATTTGCATATTTGGCCCTATTATGTTAGAACCCTTTGAAATATTGGCCTACACATACCATCCCCTAAAAAGAATTTCATTTGTTACCAAACACACCTGTAGCAATGGTAGGTAAGGGTCCAACAGCAGCATTCACTGCAAACCACTCTAGAAGGAATCCTTTCCCTGAGACTGAAGAGTCAGAAGAAAACTGAAATGTCAAAGAACTTCCTGTGGAGCTAAAAGAGTCAGTCTGAGCACCACAGTACGTTCCAATGGGGCGAGAATGAATGCCAGCGCCATCATAAATCTGCAGGTAAAACACAGATAATAGGACAATGAATTAAGGCAATTACCTCTATTTTTCTTCATTAAAAAAATTAAAAGTATATATTATGTTGTGTGCGTGTGTGTGTGTGTGTGTGTGCGCGTGTGTGTGTGAGTTGTATTTTAAAATCAAATTTTCAGAGATCTCTAAGGTGATCTCTAAATATTGTAAGTAGAATATCTTATGGATATTAAACCATTAATTAATATGAGAAATATATGGGAAACTAGCATTTTTAGAAATAAACATACAATTTTTAAAGTATATTTTTATTGATTTCAGAGAGAAAGGAAGAAGGAGAGAGAGATGGAAACATCAATGATGAGAATCACTGATCGTCTGCTTCCTGCATGTCCCTTACTGGGGACCGAACCCTCAACCCCGGCATGTGCCCTGACCTGGAATTGAACCGTGACCTCCTGGTTTTTAGGTTGATGCTCAACCACTGAGCCACACCAGCAGGGCTTATTGTTATTAAATATTTTTTATTGAATTTTAGAGAGAGGGGAAAGGAGATGGAGAGAGAAATAGAAACATAATGTGAGAGCAGAACATTGATCAGCTGCGTCTTGCACGCCCCCAACGGGGACCTAACCTACACCCCGGGCATGTGCCCTGACTGGGAATTGAATCAGCAACCTTTTGAGCATGAGATGACACCTAACCCACCGAGCCACACCGACCAGGGTGAACATACAATTTTTACATGTCTACGAAATTAAAAGAACACCTGGAGATATGGAGGGAGGTATTTATTCTTCTTACTCATTTGCATATTTGGCCCTATTATGTTAGAACCCTTTGAAATATTGGCCTACACATACCATCCCCTAAAAAGAATTTCATTTGTTACCAAACACACCTGTAGCAATGGTAGGTAAGGGTCCAACAGCAGCATTCACTGCAAACCACTCTAGAAGGAATCCTTTCCCTGAGACTGAAGAGTCAGAAGAAAACTGAAATGTCAAAGAACTTCCTGTGGAGCTAAAAGAGTCAGTCTGAGCACCACAGTACGTTCCAATGGGGCGAGAATGAATGCCAGCGCCATCATAAATCTGCAGGTAAAACACAGATAATAGGACAATGAATTAAGGCAATTACCTCTATTTTTCTTCATTAAAAAAATTAAAAGTATATATTATGTTATTATAATTTATCATAATGGAAAAATAAGTGAGTAAACATATCTGTTTTAAAATAAAAAATGCCATTAAATATTTAACATAATTGCAATAATTTAATGTTTTAAAATTATTTATATCTTTGCTGCTGAATTATATTAATAAATATATTCTATGTGATATAGCTTCTTTTATGACACAGTAAAATTTGGTGGTGGAGAGTAGAAACCAAGAGAGGTGTGCAAAACTAGCAGTTATTGAATGTGCTTTGGGGCCTCAAAGGAAATTAGGAAGAAAGGAAATAAAAAAACAAGAAAGAGGAAAGGTTTAATGAGAGAAAGTGAAGAGGTATCCTAAAGGAATTCCTATCTCCACAGAAGTAAAGATGCAGAATTAATAACAACAAAAGAATTGTAGTTTGCAACTGCTCAGCACACCTTCAAAGCACTCAATAAATCTTTTTCATTTGGTTTAAAAATATTGAGTACCTATTTAGAGACACATTTTATGCTAGCTCCCAAACACGCAGCATGGAGCACACTTTCTCTTTATTGCACACGTGATGGATGCTGTCCAGCCACATTTCCTATCTTTCCCTCCACCTTCTCCTAAATAATTATTATCATAAATTTTTCTACTGAAGCTACTGTATGTAATAGTTATATTCTCATGTACTGAGCATTTATCAGGTACTGAATTCTATGTTAGCCATTGTGAACCCAAGATGAATACGGTGGAATCATGGACTTCAAGAATCTGATAGTAAAATAGGCAAACATATATTTCACATATATCAAAACATCAAGTTGTACATCTTTAATATGTACAATATTTGTTTCTCAAATATACTTCAATAAAGCTGGAGATAAAATCTGATGGTGTATCTGAAATTGATACAATAATCAGTGTCCAGATGGCAATGATCATCACAATTTTAATATATTTATTTATTTTAAAAGGATTCTTTAAATTTTAATACTCTAACATAAGAATAAGCAGGAAATGGGATATAAGATAGAATAATTAAGAAATACATATGTATACTTAGACAAAGCTCAAGAGGCATTTTTACAATAGTGATAAAAACAAATAACTATAATACCAGAATTACCCTTGGTACAGGTAATAGGGGGTAATCATGATTTAAGGGAGATAGACCATTCCATACAATTTGCAAATGCTGAATAAACACTAACTTGGATTTGTTTTTGCCAATAGCAATTCACCTATTATAAGCATCAGTTGCACTTGGAAACTCACCCTTAATTTATCATAATAGCAGTTGTGTGTTGATTCAATGTCCATCTCCAAGATCCTACCATGGACAACTTGAGAGGCATTCACATTTACTATCCATTGGTAATCAGAGTTGTGAGGGTAATTTCCAGGCCATAAGGGAGAGGCAACTTTCCCATGAGTTCCCACAATATTGTCATTGCCAAATACTAGGAGGAAAAATGAAGTAATAAGTCAGACCTACTTAGAACAGCTCTTTAGTAAGATGAAAGAAAAAGGCAAGGGGTGTTGAAAAGGATGCACTTTTAATTGCCTGTGATTTCTTTTCTGACCACTGAAAGAAATACTGCTTCCCTTTTGGTTTCTGTGCTATCTATTAAATGCTGGAGAAGGGTAATTTTGTGAATGGAACTCCATCTCCTTAGAAGGTTGCTGGTGTGAAAACAAAGGATAACTTCTGATTTGAAAGGGATTCCCAAACCCAAGGGGACTTGGGAACATGGGAAA